AGGCCTGTACCGTGGTACGTACTACTATGCTCAGAAGTGATGCATCTTCCATCTGTCTAAGCAATTTAAGCAATCCTATTTCACTTCCGTGATAAGAAAGGGTATCACCCGCATACCCGTATGTATGAACACTCAATCTTATCGCACTAGTAGAGATTGATTAGTCTGATTCAACCGTCATTTCATTCACATGCGCATGATGTGTTCTTCTTGTTCTCCTTCTTCTTCTGTGCTTTCTAGAACACTTTGAATGGCAATATTCTCTTGATGATTAAGGAAGATTGACATTATCCACGCTCAAACTGAGTCCGAAGCTAGAGTAACCATGCACCTTCGGCACGAAGCGCTTGGTGCGTCCACTTCTGGTACAAGTTGGCCCACGCCAACGCAATGCTAAAACTCGTGGTATTTGTCTCCCAACCATCTTATCAACTACCTCCTCGAACCTTTCTGATCTACCCAGGTCGCGCTTGTTGGCCCATCAGCACTTGGTGGTTGTCCCCTATTCGAAGTTGCCCAAGGAGCTCGGGTAAGCGCCGGTGCTCCAGTAGCACTCTGAGACGGCGTTCCAGCCCATGGAGCTGCTGTTGCACCCAATGCTCCACCAGAAGGATGCACCCAAGGAACCCGTGTGGATTCCACTGGCTGTCGAATAGTCGCAGGTCCTGAGCTTGAGCTTGAGCTTGAGCTACTAGGTGGTTGGTTCGACATATGGACTGAAGGTGCGACATGGCCGGCATTCGGATCTTGGTCCCAGCTGAAAAGAGATCCGAAAGGAAAATGTTGCACAACCTGGTAGGGTCAGAATTATGCTGCATGTAGAGGGGAGGACTCCCTCCTTGTACCCAGAGGAAGGCAGTTGCTTACCGGGAACTTTGATAAAACTTCCGCATTGAACATTTTGATCATTCCCTGTGAAGCTGACGTCAGAAACTTATTTTTCTCAGATTCAGATTGTCGCCAGACCATATTGATCTTTCCCCAGCCTGATCTAACCCCAGAAATGTCAAACAAAATAGGACTGTGTTCCCAGAATGGTCCAGTCTTGACATCGTTGATGAAGCCCACCGCCGAGAAATACATGTTATGTCTTCTTTCTCGGTCGACAACACTCTTCTTTGCAATGTCTCCAGGATTCGGGGCGTTGATCAGAGCTCCTTCAACTGGCATCGGGTCATTCTCCGCGATAGGCGGGCAATATTGGGCAGAGCCAAAGATGTAAGGCAGGAATGAATGATCATCTAAGCCCCACACTCCATGCGAGCCAGCTGGCTCCAGGGTATATGTGAGAATCAAACGACGAACAACTCTCAAATAGCTGCCAGGACATTAGGTAAAGTCAGAGGAAGGAGATTGTGGTACATACGGTTCAATGATTCCCAGAACGATGCTTCTTTCCAGTGAACCCTCGCACGAAGGTGTTGTGGTAAAGCCTCCCAGCTTCCAGATGCAGCCTAAAAACGCAAGAAAGCTAAGTTCATGACCAGTACCGTAATCTAACCTTTGTGAACTACCAAACCCACCCATGAGGTAAGGAGTTATTTCGTCCAGAACTGATACGCCACTTTCAGATGTGCTCTTGAACTCAAGCACATTCTGTGGGAGATGCGTTTGGAGAAGAGCGGTGATACGTGATTCGAGAATCTCGTACCATTTTCTGAAGCTTATATTTCCAAATCTTCGAGGACCTGCGTCGGGCGGAGCCTCCTCGATGATGGCGTCTATGCTTTGAAGCAACTTTTGTATCTTTCCAACTGGCTCAGGCAATGTGATGGGGGAATCCAGTTGCCATATCTGGTCTTGCCCTTGCTCGGAGGACTTTCTGGGGCACATCGCTACGTTGAGCTGCATGATAAAGACGCCAATATCATGATATGCTTGAGAGGTGAGAAAGGAGGGCACGTCATGGCCTTCGTTTATCCTCTTTGATGGTTTTACGAAGGCGTGTGATTTGCTTGGATCTAGAATAGGCAAGCTTCTAGCGGCCATACCACGCGGAATTTGCTGAGGCTTCTGGGATTCCGATGCCATTTTTTCATCAAAGTGCTGAAGTTGGTCAATGGATGATGACTTTCGGGTTCATGAGCCTCGAGTATACGGATATGACTTGCAGTCCTGTATTGGGCGCTAGTGACCCCAGCTCGATTACTTAGCGCGACACGGGCTAGGGTGAATTTCAACGTCAAGCCGCTGATATAGCTATACCCACTCCCTTAACTACCTCACTCTGACATCTCCACCCCGTCGAACACAGCATGTCATTACGCCACATAGCTGCGGAAAATATCGTTGAGAATCGTACCTGGTACTTGGGAAAGTGTTTAGCCGGCTGATCGCAACAAAGCTCAGTCTGGCCAAGTAACCCGCTCCAGGCGCAAAGGACCGGTACGACGTGCAGCTCCAGATTTTATTTACCGTCTCGTCTAACACTTTAATTCAAAACGGACGGGAAACATCTCGGATAGTATCGCCTTCAAGGGTGGAGTCATGGCCGGTCGTAAAGCGCATTCTCTCGTCGGGGGGACGAACCAGATCCAGGACGTGGAGGAGCGGGCGGATGATGCACCTCCCCCAAGAGACGACGAATTGAGCACTCCATCTTCTATACCGAACTCTACAAGGAATACCTCTACCACACACTTCAGAAGCCTGAAGCGGAGCGCAGCACGAGGAGATATCTACGAAATCTTCAGCGAGGACAAAGCCGAGATTCGTGTCAACAATCCCAAGAGACGGTCTAAAAGGAACACACAGGCAAAAACTCCAATCGTCGCACCAATAATCAGCCAGGGTAGGCTACCTGTCGTTGCTTCTTCGCAGTACTATACCGGGGACAGTTCGAGGCCACAAGAGAAGGTAGCCATGCCAAATGTTAATGCTGTAGGTACGACCGAGGTGGCTCAGAGTACCTCCCTGGAGCCCACAAAACGGGGAAGAGGTCGGCCGCGAAAGACTTCGAAACCGATTCCAGCTGTCCCAGCAACTTCTGTCGCAAAACGCACATCTCCGCTCGCAAATTCCAGTGAGGCAGAAGACCGTCTGAATACCACGAACCAGCCCGCAAAACGAGGAAGAGGACGTCCTCCTAAGAATTCTATCTCCATGCCAGATATCATTCCAAAAGAGGCAGTACGAAGAATAAAACAAATTCCAGCATTACCTCAAAAACCTGTGGTACCAAACAAAGCAACAGTTTCGGAGGAAGGCTCAGGTGCCGAGGATGCAGAAATCGAGGAAGATGTACCGGTTGATGAAGAAGAGACCCGAGGAGAAGTTGAGAAAGTATTCCCCGCAGATGAGGCACGAGGATCCGCTCCCGAGACACCAGCTGTGGACGAAGATGAAGATGACGATCAGGGCTACAGCCAAATCCTCATGAACCCAAGTCCTATCAAAGTCACTGGACAAAACATCGTTGTTGACTCGAACCATGCTCAGCAAAACCTCGAAGCGATATCACCAAATCAACCAGAAGGTGAAGCTCTGGATAAGGAGGCTACTGAATCCGAAGCCGAGGAAGATTGGGTCGAGGAGAATGGGGCCGGGGAGGATGAGACCGAAGACGATTTAACCGAGGTGCTCTTTAACAACACCTTACTAGAATCAGTAGCCCGTATTGCCCGAAGAGTTGGACACCGTCAAGATACTAAGACGCGCAAGTTCCATTTGAGACAAACAGAGAAAATGATGACTACCAACGGGAAGAAGATGATTAAATCCATCAACAAACTGGTATCGGCGTACGGTATATTGCGAAACAACAAGAACAAGCAAGAGCCTACAGAATGTATAAACCTGGTCGCATCTCTCATACGTGAAATCAAGCTCGAGACTGAGTCGATCTTGAAAAAAAGATTGGGAAATCCGAGCATCGGCATCGAATATGACGAGGAAGCAAGGTCGAAAAAGATGCTTCGAGATCTTTACTTCAATATTTTCCCACCACTCGTGGATGTAATCCAAATGGCTGTCGATGTTCATCCTGCAGTGCCTTCTATTGAGACGCCTGCACTCCAACAACTCCTAGACCTAGTCACTTGCCTCGAGCAACTTGCGACAGCTGCAATTCTGCAGCCAAAAGAACATCAGCCTAGAGCCCCAGGCAATTCGATGGCCGATTCTTATCAAATAACGCAGCCTACTCGCCATTTCCTGCCCAATGTTCGTTTGATACGAAAAATTTTATCAGCCGAGCTAGATGAAAGGGGTCGCATCGAAGCCGCTAAAAAGCGGGAGCAGCGACAGCATCGACAGCGGCAAATAGATGAAGAGAGAGAGAAGCGACGTCAAGCTGATCTTCATGCACGTATTGTTGAGACGAATCGATTACAGAGAGAGGCATTCAATAAACGCCTCGAAGAGCCACGATGGGGACAGATATTGAGCAAAATTATTGCTGCAAAGACTGCGAACGGTACCCAGAATACTCAGTCCATGTATCGTGCCTACAGAAGCGATGAGCCGCCGAGCGAAGAATATTTCGGGGGAGCCCAGGACAACGACAGCCAAAATGACCCCTTTGCCGAAGATCTGGCTGCAGAGGAACAGTTTGACCACTTTTTAAATGGTCATGACGATGCTTATGACCGAGTCCGTGTTTTTGGGAGGAACAACATGAATGATAAGTCCAGACCACTATCTGATGAAGAAAGACAGATCTTCATCGAGTGCATGAGGAAGGAGAGAGGTATGCAGATTTAGGCTTTAGCTGCATCCATGCTGACTTTCTGTAGGAGAGGACCGCTACGTGAAGGCGGCACAAACACTGCAGAGGAGTGTGGAGGAGATATTTTTGTATGCTCAGGATCTACAAGAAGCCATGGATCGGAAGCATGCACAGGGATGGATGAAAAGGCCTAAAGACGAATGGACAAATTATATCTGGGCAAAGGAGCCTGAACCTAGCACATCTGGGTCATGACGACTTGAATTCGTCAGACCAAGTGGTCTCTTTGGCGTTGGGCATATAGCTTTTTGGACCCGGCGTTCGTTTACGGTTACGGTTAAGTATGATGTTTTGATACCCAGAGGGATACGGACGGTGATATCTCGAGACACGGCTTGGGGATCTGGCTTTCGAGTTTAGTCTGCGCAATGGACATTGCAGTAGCTACCAACACAGTTCCACAGGAGCACAGCCACTGCTATATCCAATTTACAGTCGCCGAAGTCACACCTTCTGCCTCTCCTTGCATCCCCTCGCCGTCGTTTCATACGTACAAGACTTTACCTCGTCCCCTTTAGTCCTTTTAGTCCACAACCATCTAAAACATACTGTCGATCATCCCAATTACATGCGCCATGCCACTTGGATCGGGATGCAACACCAGCGGGGACAGGAAGTTTCCTTTCCCTTATATTCGGCGCTCGTCGTACTCGTTGTAGAGGTAATCGAAGCGCGCCTTCCACATTTTACGGATGATGCTAGCTCCAACGTAGCCGTGTGGATTAGAGGTCGCCGGGAGGAACTGCATTGGTGTCACTGGGTGTGTGTGCTAGTAAGAAATAATGTAAACACTTGAATGTCGGTCTTGGACTGATGACTTCTGGACGTGAGTTGCATGGAAGGGAAGGAGGACTGTGGGGGCGCTCTGTCTTCCACATACCAGCTGCATAGCATCTCAACGAGCGTCTCCTCCATTGACATCGATGATAGCGGAAGCGGCTTCGTCCACGTCGTCGTCGCTGGGAGGCGGGGCGGGTAGTCGATGGGTTTGAATGGGTGCTGCTTCGGGCAGGAAATCCGGCTCGTAGTCGCGGTGCGTTGACGAGGGAGTCTGCACCAGCCGCTGGGCCTTTTCCTCTCCGTGTACCTTCTCGAGACGATCCGCCGCGTGGTGGGAGGGAAATCTTACCGTACAGGAACCCAGACTCCTCGAGAACCTTCACGGTAGTGTGCTTCCGGGATCCGGGACAGCGGCGCTCGCCACCCTCGCGGTTTCTGGCTTGTCAGCGCCGTGTTGAGGTGCACACACTTCTCGATCACTTCCCGCTCCTGCTCTTTCGGACATTTGGGCTCCTCCTTCGTGAGTGTACCCGTGTAAACACGCTATCTCGGCGCCGCTGTTGAGGATTTGCTGCGTCTCGGAGGGGATGCTCTCCATGGAGTGAACTAGGTTATGCTTGAAGCGATGCCGTGATCCTTGAAGAGCTTGAGGAGGCGCGAGACGCGGACTTAGCCAGCTTGTTACTGTGTATCAGCAAGCGTACTGAGGATGTTCAGAGCTCGCTTATTCTGGTGATCGATTCGAGGTTGACACGCGAAGAAACCGAATGAATCGCCGGCGATGTTGTTTTGGGGGCTGGCTCCCGTGCCTAAAAGTCCACTGACGGCGTCGAAGTCGATGCTGAGCATGAATGATTTGGATCTTGCGTCTGGTGGTGCGAGAGAGGCGAAGACGAGAGGTTCTGGAATAACGGGATTGGGCTTTCTGTAGGGAGGACGGTAGACTCGGGGGACGCCTTCGTTCCGTCGTCGGTACCACCCTTACTTCCATGCCGCCATCAACAGATAGACTTTCTCCTGAGATATGGCATGCTGCTTTGTGGCTTGACAGGAATTCCATGGCTCTCGCCACACCCTTCGGCTGCGCCATTCCGCGCAAGGGAATTGTCGCTCGAGCTTCTGTATACAGTTCTTTTAAGTCATCGAGACGTCTTTCGAGTAGGGGGGTGTTGACCCATCCTGGTGCCACGGCATTAATCCGCGCTTTGCTGTGCAACCTCGTAATCTCATTCTTCACCGTCTTCGCTAGATCTTACTGCAACATTGCCTTGCCAGATGCATATTCAGCATGTCCTGCTTGCCCAAACTCCGTGCATCCGGATCCCGTGACCACGAGAGACAAATTGTTAATCTCCGGCCCATTGTTTGGGACTTGGAATTCTTCCGCCGAGAGCAGAAAGTGCTTGATGGTCAGAGATATGCCGCGAACATTGGCGTTGTAGGTTTTCTTGCAGAGGTCGACAGGAAGTCTCCATGCTGGCTAGGAATTGCTCTCCTCTGTGATGCCCACGACGGGTATGAAGATGTTGATGGGCCCGTGTTGGGCTCTTGCCTCGGGAAATGCAACTCTGGACGGAATGACTCTTCCGACGAGCTATCGCCGGTGAAGGTATGCAGTTCCGGGGATGCTGGAAGGCTGGTTGGTGATGGGTTCGGAGATCATGTGCCGTAACTGTGCAATCCATGTTCTGGTGACGTTAGCCGTGTCTCTTGATTTGGTTTGTACTCCGTGCCGTGAAGTTTTTTTCCCAGGTTGTTTCTTACCTCCGTATGTCTCCATGAATCCTGGGACGTTGGTGACATGGTTCTGCGAAGCACCCTGGCCTGCTGGCGGGGAAGCTATTCGGAAATTGTTGCGAGAAAGTAATCCACTTGGATTCTGACCGTCATTGAGCCACAATATCGGCATGGCTGAGGAACCGGAAAGGGACAGTTGCAGCAGGGCAGAAGGAGTAACTCGGAAACCGTTTTTAGTGCAGAACCAAAGTACCAATAGATTGTTTAACTGCGTGCCCTCTGATTCCACCAGCTGCTCGGTAATGAAAACGTGGTAGCTCTCAAGGCCTCAGGATATCATGTATGGATATACTCCTTACCTTGACAACTTTGGAGTCCGATCCTGCTGCCACTGCGAGATTGTAAGATTAATCTTGAAAAAGAGGCATGTTGAAGAGGTATGGGTAGGCCAGACGGGAGCGAGCAACTGGCCCTTTGGCAGGCCCTCGCTTACGACCCCTTTATGTAATAACAAAGACTCTCTTGAGACGATCATCATAAACGCACTGAATGGCTAGTGTCCAAAGGAACAATGCAGATTCTAAAGATGTCAATCGATCAGGTATATCAGCTTGCCGGAGGGTGGCTTGGTACCTTCGTTTGGTAAGTCATTCGGTCGGGTCGGTCATGATTTTCTGTCGGGTTTCGAACGGTGTTTCCACTCCGCGATGAAGCGAATACCTAGTATATACCACCTCGCTCACCTCGTTACTTGATCTTACATGGAGAGAGCATAAAATACCAGAACAGTCAGCCGAACTCGAATACGAAAGCGAGCAGATACCGTAGATACTGAATGCATACACGTGATTTTGCCACCTCCCGATTCCCGGGTGCTCAAGCGATAAGGATAGATCTGCGACAGGGAAGCAAAGCCACAAGCCCCATCTTTGGGGATGTTGACGCACTACGGTACTCCGCCCGGACAGGTGGGCTGTCGTGCTGGACTGTACAGTATGAAACCGGAAGCGGCGCATGCTGGTGATGTCAGAGCGCAGCAGATCTAGGGGTCTTCTCTCTCTCTCTGAGTCTCTCTTCTCACTGCATCGGTACCATATTTCCAAGCGAGTGGCGAACCGGGCCGGGAGGGGGGGCCAGCTTTACTTAAGTACCGGTACTGTACTGTATTAGACTTTAGACTTGGACCATTGAGCTTTAGCCTTTAGACTTTAGACTCTGAACTTCAGACCTTAGAGTTTGGTACTGTTCTCTGTAAGTAAGTAGTAAGAGAAGTACGTAGTAGTAGTACTTGGTAAGACCCCGACTCCCAAGCCCAGTAAAAGCGGAGGGTTCTATGTTTCTGCACGCTGTCGAAGATGGGGCGAGTCGGTTTCAAGTCAGTCAGTACGGAGGGCAGTAAGTACCGGTGCTGGAGTACATGTGATGTTTCTTTGGCCATCAGTGAGTGCGGTATCGGTAGAGTACCTAAGTATACCTTATGTACCGTAGTACCCACGAAGAACTTAGTACTGTACCGGTATATATAGAGTGTGCCTCAGGCCGGCACAGTTCAAGGCGAGTGAGTGGAGCCCCCGGTTGCAGATCAACCCGACCCACCTTGGCACGATGATGGAAGAATGTAAGGATTAACTACCTACCTAAGTAAAGGGTGGCAAAACTTCTCTATTTGTTTGTTTGTTTGTTTGCTTGTTTGTTTCTTGCTTTCTGGCTATCATTCTTGCTATCTTTCTTTGGAGAGAGAAGACGGTTGATTAAACATATCAACCTTCATTCCATTACAACTATCACATCCCAGCCGGGCGGCCAGATCTAGAGAGAGAGGGGAGAGGGTGGACTATCCCCCCCCCCAACCCATACAATCAATCCTCGAAGCTGCTCTTCTCCTTTGGAAGTTATCCTTCATGATCTAGCTGTTGCTACTATACTACACTACTACCGGTACTGCTGCCACTACGGTGACTACTTCCCGTAGCCAGGCCGACCTTCCTTCCGAGCAGATTAAACCAACTGGATATTTGCCGGTCACCAACTAGGGCCGGTCTAAGTGGGAAGAGCTCTAGTGGCTGTCCTTTGCTTCTCGCCCGACCTCCACCCTCTCGACCCTCAACCCTCGAGCCTCGATCTCCCATTCTCCCTCCTTCATCGCCACTACGCAAACAAGCCGCCAGCCAGCATCTCTGCTTCGACGAGATACCCAGTCGACGCCGGCTTGCGGTCGCATCTTCCCTCTGCCCCCCCCCCCCCCCCTTCCCGCCGTAGCCTTGTCTCTCGGATTGATCTAGATCTAGATCTAGAGCTAGATAGATCAACGGCTGAGCCCGCATGTCGACGGACCATCGCGCCTCAAATTTCCCCTCCCTTCTCGGTCGAGAGAAACGAAACCACCTACATGAAATCCAAGCATACTCGGGGATAGTTGTATCGTCAACACATGCACTACAGTGCCGCAGGCCGAAGACGATTATTCGAGGCACTCGACGCCACCCCTTTGGTACCGCGATAGAGACGGCGACTTTGAGCTGCTCAGAATGCGGGATGGTGAGGATATGGCTGGTGGCAAGGAAACATCGAGACGGTCCGCGTCACCCGTTGCCGTCAATTTCTCTTCCCCTCCGACGTCTCCACTGTCACAGCCGTCACTAGAGAATGGCTCTCAAAAACAAAAACCTCCATTGGCAGCATCAGACGTGCACAATGGTTTCGTACTTCCTATGGTACAAGATGGTGCTACTTCCTCTTGGAGTGCCTGTTCGGACCATCAACTTGTCAGTAAGGGCTCTACAAGCGATCGAGTGTTCCCTATCAGAAGTGCCATCAGCGTAGATCCGACGCAAATACCAAACATATTTCAAAGCCGAAATTCTATTGATCACCCGGATTACTTCCCTACCAGCGCTACAGGGAGTGACTCCACCCAAGGTTCGTACTGGGGACGTCGAAAGACCAGTCAAGGTTCCCGCTCGGCATCGGTGCAACCTAGAGATAAACGAAAATCTTCCGTCTCTACCATGCACAGCGATATCGATAAACGTGCAGAGGTATCTCGAATGCACTTGTTCAGTGACGCCACGTCGGACAAGTCTAACGGCAAATCGGACACTGGGAGTCGAAAGTCGGTTTCGTTTGGCACTGATATCGAAGAGGACTCGATGCCAGGATTGGTCACTGCTAGATTTAAGCATATAGTGACTGCAGAAGGTCACGCTGTTATCACAGGCCGTGATGGGGAAACATTGCAACGTTGCGAAGATGAACCGTGTGTAACACTGCTCGCCGACATGTGCCAGGCGCTGCTAACATGAGTTCATAGCATACATATTCCGGGGGCAATCCAAAGCTTTGGACTGCTCGTTGCGTTGGAAGAACGTGAGGAAGGAGAGCTGTTGGTCCGAATTGTTAGCGAGAATTCCCGGCGAATCATTGGGTATTCGCCCCAGGACTTGTTCAGGCTGAACAGCTTCACCGATATCCTGAGTGAGGAGCAGTGCGACAATGTCTTGGACCACATAGATTTCATCCGGGACGAAGAGGCAGACCCTGCTACTAATGGACCGGAAGTCTTCACTATTTCCATCAGAGCACCGGGAGCTAGGAGGAGTCAGAAGCTGTGGTGTGCAATGCACATCAATCAAGCGAATCCAGACTTGATAATCTGCGAGTTTGAACTTGACGATGATCAAGTTTATCCGCTTGTTCCTCCAAACCACGATACTCCGGAGCCACCCGAGGATACGCTAAACAGTAATCCGACCCAGGAAGAGTTCGACGAGAGTACCCACATATCGAGCAAGCCTTTGCGAGTATTGCGTAGTGCAAGAAAACGAAAAGGGGAGGCCGCGGCCATGGAAGTCTTCAATATCATGTCCCAAGTCCAGGAACAACTGGCAGCTGCACCGAACCTTGAAATCTTCTTGAAAATCCTAGTTGGGGTGGTAAAAGAATTGACTGGCTTTCACCGAGTCATGGTTTATCAATTCGACCACGGATTTAATGGTCGCGTGGTTACTGAGCTGGTGGATCCGCGAGCGACCAAGGACCTCTACAAAGGCTTGCATTTTCCCGGTAACCTTCTCCCATCGAGCCTCCCCCCCCCCTCCCGATAAATTCTCGTGCTCTTCAATTTTCCTTGTTGCTTTGGTGAAGTTTGACACTGACATCATGCAGCGTCGGATATTCCAAAGCAGGCTCGTGATATGTATAAAATCAACAAAGTGCGACTTCTCTACGATCGAGATTTGGAAACAGCTCGTCTTGTCTGTAGAAATGTGGAAGATCTCGAAGACCCTCTCGATCTATCTTTTAGCTATTTGCGAGCGTATGTAAAGGAAGGAAGAGCCTCATATATCCGACTCCTGGTCGACCCGAGAGAGTCGAGACGTCTCTCCTCCCTCCCTCCCTCGATACCATTTTGATGAAGAAATTGCTGACTCTCCGTGCCCTAGAATGTCTCCAATCCATATCAAATACCTTGCTAACATGGCTGTGCGCTCGAGCATGAGTATATCCATCAATGCCTTCAACGAACTATGGGGTCTGATCGCATGCCATACCTATGGGAGCAAAGGCATGCGGGTTTCTTTCCCGATACGGAAGATGTGTCGACTGGTAGGAGATACAGCATCAAGAAACATCGAGAGATTGTCTTATGCCTCCCGGCTTCAAGCTCGGAAGCTCATCAATACCGTACCAACTGAGGCCAATCCGTCTGGTTACATTATTGCGTCATCAGACGATCTGCTGAAGCTCTTCGATGCCGACTTCGGACTGCTCTCCATTCGAGGTGAAACTAAGATAATGGGCAAGATTGAACAGTCCCAGGAAGCACTAGCGATGTTGGAATATCTTCGGCTTCGACAAATTACCTCCGTGATTACATCACAAGATATCAAAGTCGACTTCCCTGATCTGCAGTACCGGCCAGGCTTCAATCTAATTGCTGGCCTTTTACTTGTACCTCTGAGTGTGGGAGGGAAAGATTTTATTGTCTTCTTTCGCCGAGGGCAAACAAAGGAAATTAAGTGGGCTGGTAATCCATATGAGAAGTTTGTTAAAGAAGGGACAGAAGGCTATCTCGAGCCCAGGAAGAGTTTCAAGACCTGGAGCGAGACGGTGGTCGGGAAATGTCGCGATTGGACAGAAGAGCAAGTTGAGACAGCAGCAGTATTGTGCCTAGTTTACGGAAAATTCATCGAGGTCTGGCGTCAGAAGGAAGCGGCACTACAAAGCAGCCAATTCACGAAGCTTCTCCTTTCAAATTCAGCCCACGAAGTCAGAACCCCTCTCAACGCCATCATCAACTATCTGGAGATAGCTCTTGAGGGCGCTCTCGATCAAGAAACGAGAGAAAACCTGTCGAAATCTCACTCAGCTTCAAAATCATTAATTTATGTCATCAATGACCTCCTTGATCTGACAAACACAGAGGAAGGACAAGCTCTCATCAAGGACGAGCTTTTTGACCTCTCAGCTACGGTTAAGGAGGCCACTGACTCATTCAGAGGGGATGCGAAGAGAAAAGGTCTCGTATACGAAGTCACTGAGCATCCCGGGGTCCCCCAATTCGTCCACGGCGATCAACGTCGTGTGAGACAGGTCATCGCGAATGTTACAGCAAATGCTGTCCAGAACACGAAGACCGGGTGGATTCATATCGAAATGTGGCTAGAAAGCCTACAAAATGACTGTGCGACGGTTGAGATCATTATACAAGATTCTGGAGTCGGGATGTCCAACGAGGTACTGGATTCGTTGTTTAGGGACCTCGAGCAAGTGTCTACCGAAGGCGATTTCGAGGAGTCATTTGAGGAGCCCAACAAGTCTCGCCAAGTCTTCAAGCAAGGAAAAGAACATCGAACTCTAGGTCTTGGCTTAGCAATGGTGGCTAGGACCATCCGAAATATGAACGGCCAGCTCCGGTTGAAATCAGAGGAAGGCAAAGGTTCGCGATTTGTTATGCAATTGCCGTTCACCGTTGGCGCCAGCAAAACCGACGAGTCCAGGGAGCAGGCACCACCTTCAAAGCCTCCAACACCACTACCACTATCCACCCCACCACTATCTGATGAGATACCGGAACTCACGCTTATAGAAAAGAATAGCTCCTTGAAGCTGAACAGTACCAACCGCAGGCAAAGTGTCGAGGAGATGGGTAGTATTCAAAGTTTCCGAAGCGGCTCCAGCACCAAGAGTAGCGCAAGTAAGAAGAGTGATGTCGACAGGCTCATTGATGCTATCTCAGGACCGTTAGCAGTTGGTGAGGCTGAACCTGAAGAGACAACTCTGCAGCGGACCAATAGCAGAGAGAGTCGCCATAGTCGGAAGAGTGTACCTAGCCTGGGTTCTAACTCAGCCCGCACAACATCATCAAATCCAGGAAAGATGACAAGATCAAGATCTTTTGGGGCACCAGAGCATCTTCGTAGGCCGTTGGAGGGACCAGCAGGGTCTGAATACGTGACTGATAACAAAACACTGATGAAAGCGGTCAGGATGCCAGATGAGTTTGACACTCCAATACAAACTCTCAGTACACCATCTAGGGTTCTTTTTGAACTTCCGGAACAGCAAAACCGGAAGGCAATCGAGAAACCGAAACCCCTTGATGCGGAACATCTGCAGGTCTTGGTCGCGGAGGATGATCCCGTCAACAGTCGAATCATGATGAAAAGGCTGGATAAAAGCGGCCATAAAGTGCACCACACAGTCAATGGAGAAGATTGCGCCAGTGCGTATGGGGAGAAGGCGGCATTCTTCGATGTGGTGCTCATGGATATGCAAGTGAGTGCACAACATTTGGGAGTGCTGAGTGTTTTGAAAATTTGTACTGACTTTTCTTCAGATGCCAATTGTTGACGGACTTACATCTACGAAGATGATTAGGTCGTATGAGAAGTCACACCTGAAGAGTGATCTCTCTCCTCGAGCAGCTGGTAACGGCAGAGTACCCATATTTGCTGTATCTGCATCGCTTCTCGAGCGCGAGCGTCAGACTTACATCAACGCTGGTTTCGATGGGTGGATCCTCAAGCCGATTGACTTCAAACGACTCAACATACTTTTGCTAGGTATAGTAGATAACGAGAAGCGGAACTCGTGTCTTTACAAGCCAGGTGAATGGGAGCGAGGCGGGTGGTTCCACCGGTCACAGCCATCGGTTCTCTCAGCGGCCACGACACCAAGCGAAGAGAGGCCATCGCAGAGGTTGGACGACAATCGTGATAAAAGCTCTAGTCACGATTCGAGCGAGTCTGGCGGTTCTATGACACCAACTGATACGAAACGACCTCTCATTCATGACGAACGACTAGATGTGCCGAGATCCATAAATGACAGCTATTTCCCCGCCGCGGCAGCCATCTCGGGATTAGAGGACACGGCAGAGAAAGGGGAGACTGCTGGACGGGAGCCTGTAGCAACCTCTGCATGCCCGTGATCGTTGGATCTCAGATTTGTGGGAGACGATGCACGTTGAACGGAGCAAGTTAGGATGATCTGGATACCGAATTGTGTAGATACCTGCATCTAGGACGCACTATTGTTTTTGTGAAAGATGTGTTGGTGGTATGATCACCAGAGCGGGCGTTTGTGGTTCGGCACCGGCGTTGGTAACGGATGGGCTCGAGGCGCATACATTTGAGACGCATGGGTGACGATGCTGTGGCGCTTTGGCGAATTGTATAGCTGGCGTGAGTGATGAGTCTACAGTCAATTAATCATGGATGAGAGTCGGGACAGAGCTTTGCAACGAAATTTGGTATCTTGTTTTCATAGGGTATGTCATAATGATATACCTACTTGAAGCCGATGATGCTTCAGTTGACCACGCCGGTATTTTGGGCGTGCCTTGCCTCCCTTGCGTGAAAGAATAATCATCGTCGGCTCCCTTTTGAGGCTGAAGGATGGAAGGAGGCCCACCTAAGCGAGTCCGACGATTGCATCCATATTCCTACAAGACCCGATCAAGGGGAAGATCTCATTTTTTTTGTATAAAATAAAGCCAAAAAGTACTAGGATAAAAATGAGAAAGAAAGAAAAAAAAAATAAAAAAAAAAAATAAAGCCGTAACAGGTTGGGCGCATCCCGGGATTGAACCGGGGCTGAAATTTTGTTAGTACTGCTTTTGTATAGCATACCGAGTGGTGAGTTGAACTTACACCTCTCGCATACATGTTTAGGGTGAACCCTAAGCGAGAATCATACCGCTAGACCAATGCACCTGGGTCCTTGCTGGTTGAATTGATGGGTGCCCCGCCGATACCGTGAATACATAATGAGTCGCCACTTCTCTTACAATTGTAGTAGGTAGCCCCTCCTTCGTATCCCCTCCTTTGTATATATTTATATGGGGCTCAAGTACGACCGACCACCTTCTCCTTTCCCCAATACTCTGTCTGCAAAGGCAACGCGACCACAGTTCCCTTTTCCTTCCTTGTTGTCACTTACATACCTTGATCATTTTGGCTTGGTTGAGTTTGGCTTGCCATTGAATTTACCAACTACTACCTTTCCTGTGGTAAATCATGGCGCCGGTGTACAAGATTGCGGTCGTGCAGCTGCATCCTAAGGTATATTGAGCTTCGTCTCTACCTTTGATTTGCTTTTGGTCTTTTCATGCCGTTGGCTTTTGTCAAGTGGTATGCTGCTTCCCTAGCTAGCACTTACTTATAATCACCGCACTCACTCAGCCCCTCGACATCGAAGGCAACCACGCGGCAGCCGTCAAGTATATCCGCGACGCAGCGAGACAGTCCATCCAGCTTGCCGTCCTCCCTGAGTACCAGTAATTCCATCATGCCTCTCCTCTCCTCAACAAACAACACTGACTCCTCACAGCCTAACCTCCTGGGTGCCCGACGACCCCGGCTTCGTGCCCCTTTGTGCCCAGTACCAGAAGTATCTCGACTCCTACTGCGCTTTAGCGAAGGAGCTGAACATCTGCATCGTCCCCGGCACCATCGTCGAGAAACACGGCGACGACCTACTGAACATCGCCTACTTCATCAGCAGCGACGGAAGCATCCTAGGCAGCTACCAGAAGAAGAACCTCTGGCACCCGGAACGTCCGCACCTGTCCAGCTCAACCCATGAGCCCCGTGCGTACCAGATACGCATTCTATGCCTCCCTCTCCCCCTATCATCTCATCATTCCAACACCAAAACCCTCACCCAGAGCCCAAGAAATCTTCAACCACGCTCCGCGCTCCCGACCGAGACCCTGCAGAATCCACGCTGACTTGGATTGAAATGAAAGACGTAGCGTTCGACACGCCGCTCGGGAAGGTCGGCATGCTCATCTGCTGGGACCTGGCCTTCCCCGAAGCCTTCCGCGGCCTGATCGCCGGCGGCGCAAAGATCATCGTCGTGCCGACCTTCTGGACGCTCGGGGACTGCAGCCCTGCCGGCCTCGCGAGGAATCCGATGGCCGAGGAGCTGTTTCTGGATAGGTAGGTACAGCGATCGTACACTCGTGATCTTATTTCCCAATAACTCTCAGTATCCGGTCTCATATATATATATATCTATGAGACGATCAAGGTGTATGAGACGAGATGTGCGTTTACTGACTCGGAGTTCTATCTGCTGCAGTATGATGACGGCACGAGCGTTCGAGAATACGTGCGCGGTTGTGCTGGCCAATGCAGGTGGACCGAGAGGGGATGAAGAGAGGGGCAGCTGGGCGGGAGGCAGCCAGGTCGCGGTGCCATTCTTAGGGGCCTTGGGACGGCTGGGGTGGAAGGAAGGGTGTAGTGTTGTCGAACTTGACATGGAGATTCGTAGGTTACTGACATTTTCCTTTCTCCTCTGCAGCATCTCAGGTATCCTGGTCGGGGTTAGACGTAGACGATGTGATGTGATGTGATGTGGCGTGCAGTGCAGTGCTGATCTGGTGACTTGCAGTGGAAGAAGCAGAGGCAAACTACAAAGTCAGAGAGGATATGGGGAGAGAAGGCTGGCATTACTGTTATACTCTGACCCGGGAGTCGCACGCGAGCAAGGCGTGAGTGCGTGAGTGCGTGAGTGCTGCGCTCGCGAACCCAACCCCGGGCGAGTAAGTCCTGCTTTTATACGAGGTATATAAACCACCTAAGTATATACACACATAAGAAAGCTACATATCACCTAAGATGACGTGGTCCGCTGAGAGAAGAAAGATGTATGTATATACGCAGGATATTCCAAGCAACTCCCCACCCGAATGAAGAAAAGATTATGTCTTGCCAAACGCCGAAGAGAGAGAGAGAGATATATATATACGTATATATATATATATATATATATATATATATATATATATATATGTAATAATAGAGATGGAAAGAAAGATAGATAGAACCTGCCTAGACTTCTCGCTGCTGAAGAGAGCTCATACGGAGGAGAGATTATAGACTGGAGAGAGATTGGAGAGAGAGAGCGAGATCCAGACCCGTGATAGAATGCTCGCAAACAGCAAACAGCAAACACAGCAGGGAGCAGTATCTACACGAAGGAAAGTGAAACCACCACAGACCATGGCATGGGACCAAGACTTTTTGCAAAAGACTGTCGTAAAAGGAGAGGTGGGTCATCTTTGCTCCATCAACGTAACGTATCATTGACCTTGTTGTTGGTTGTTTCTCTGTCCATGACGAAGATGAAGACGGTGAACAACGTTTCCAGGATCCTGTAATCTTACATATATATATATAAAAAAAAAGAAGGGAAAGACCAACTCCTGATTATCCTTTTGTGTTTCCTCCACGCCGTACCTTTCTTGCCTGCTCGCATGCATACCCATGCGTGCATGCGTGGGCGAGTGCCCCCGAAAACACCTATCCCATCCCATGCCATGCCATCCGACCCCCGGCTAACACACCAGGTCTGCGTGCGGAGAGCCCGTAGAGAACGAGCTCATGGATGCCCCTGTTCCCGTTCTATTTTTCAAATGCTCCCGAGTGCCCCAAGGATTCCTTTTTTTTAAAACCACGCCAGGAAAATGATGACGAGAAAGACGTGAAACTCATACAAAGACATACAGGGGTATACAATCACAATAACAATCACACTTCGTCTCTCATCCTATCTCAGATGTGAGCGCAGGCTCTCACCCTCAACGTAAAAAATTATGCCGCAAGCGTCTAAACGTTTAGACAAATCATCGCATGCGCCACGGTTGGCCGACAAAAGGGTTTACCGGGCCGCTTCACCACCGAGCACGCTCAGGTATCCGTTCTTGACGACCTCTCTCAGCCGCGCAAAGTTCTGGAAACGCGCGCCTGCAGGACCAGAAGCACTAGCTCTCTCTCCCTGCTGCCTCTCGTTGCTGACCGCTACATCCCTGCCCTCCTCGGTCGCCGTAGCCAGATCGGCGAGGCGCTGCAGACTCTGGCTCGCGACAGCTGCGTGTTTACTCTCTGTGGAAGCGAGATTGGCTGCCTGCTGCTTTCGGTTGGCGATAAGATCCCCGACTGCAGCATCTGTTGCTGAGGGCGCGATACGGCTTTCGAGCAGAGCTTGCAGACCATGCTCCGCTTCCTCGCGGGTGGCCTCGTATTCTGTGAGATCGAGCAGTGTCAATGCTGCTAGGGTTGTTGAATGGTAAGTCAGAGGTGCGATGAGGCCTGGGTTGTTCATGAGCTGCGAGACGATGTTCGAGGCGCTGACGAGGAGGTCGGATGGCTCGACGACGGGAAGTGTGAGATCCACCAGGATTCGTAGATGCCAATAGCAGATATGAATCTCTGGTGCGTTAGAAGGCGGGAAGAAGGATGCAGGCAGCGTCTCCCGAAAGCGCTCAAGCTCGCCTCTGAGAAGGGTGCCGTAGATTGGTCCAGACGCGACACTGAACAGAGGGAGATCGGTAGGGACGAGCATGACAGCAGATATGTGACCTAAGATGATTGATAGGCCTGGACACCAGAAATCAGCATTTTGTCAAGTCAAAAAGTACAACACTTACGGGCTAGATGGTAAATGCGGTCTCCCAACAGCGCCTGATCCTCTGGATACACAACCACGCTGCTGTCGGGGATCAATACTGGACTGGACGTGCTCGAAGCATGCCACCTATCCATAATGACCAAACTCCACCATAATCTTCTGCCAAGCTCATCATCTGCGTCAGGGTCGTTCTCGGTTTTCATGTCGCGTTTTTTGTGCAGATGCAGCTTCATCAAATAAGCTAGCCCAACGGCGCTACCAAGCCAGACCGACTGAGATAGAGCTCCTTTACTACCTGAAATTGTTGAACTTCGATTTCCGGCCTCAACTGCCATGAGCAACATGGTTTGTAAATAGATGATGTTCAGCGGAAACGATCGAGCCGATCCAAAATCGATTTGAGATGACAGGGCGATGAGCTGAGCTGCTTTTGGGCTACTTGCTTGCTCGTCGCGATGCTGATTTGGTGAAGGATACGAACGAACTGCAGCATGAAGGGCTTCATAGAAAGCTTCTCGTAAGGTCTGGGGGCAAGCAATCAGTCGGCTCAAAACTCGAGTCTTGGTGGTTGAAAGAATTGGGAAAGTAGAGTGCACCATCTTGAAGTACCTAGAATGTATTAGCCATTTTCGTTAACAAATATTCAAAACACACACCCATCCACAATTGATTCATCCCAATCCAACACATGGTCTGGATGATTTGATTCTTGCGCAGCAGCCTCAAATGCATTGTTTGATCGGTGTGCAGGCTCCGGGGCGATTCTCCACTGAGGGTTAGGGTGAAGACCATTAGGAGAGTAGTTGGGTTCTCTGAATATATGGTGTTCGCCCGAAGCTGTTTGAGAGGGTGAAAAAGAAGGACCAGGATGTGGCACGTGTCTCTGAGGCTCTGATTGAGTCCATGTAGGTAGTTGTCTTTGAGCGACAAGAGGGGAACCATATTGCTCGCTGCCAGAGACAGCTGAATACTGCCGCTTCCTAGAGTTTTCAGTTGGAGGGGAGTACTCTTCAGATATCCGCGGCTGGTTATCATGTTGTGGTAAGTACTGTGGTGCCACATCGCTGCCTTGTACTACTCCTTCGAGAGTGACGATGCGGTCTGCTAGCTCTTTGATGTACCTACGGTTTACGGTTAGCTTGTAATGGACCATAGCGCATGGCAGGGCTTTGGACAGCCATTCTTGGACATACCCTTTGCTGGGTCCTCTCTTCATAGGTACCCTGCTGAACTGACAATTATTGCCAACCCGCTTGCAGTTGGAACACTGATCGTCTCCTGGCTCGCCTGTCGCATCGCATTTGACCTTCTTGCGCCGGCACTCATCACACGCTCTCGACACTTTACTTCGTTTTCTCGGTGCCATTGTTCCATCCTGGGGATCATATTGTGCTACCATCTGGTTCATAGAGCCATGGCCGGCATGTAGGTGGGCGGCATGAGCTTGGTCCTGCTCATACTGGTGGTTTGCGTGTGATTGACCTTGACTTCTCCCATCCTGACCATCAGCCATGTGTCCACCCGGACCAGAGGTCATCATCGGCGCAAGATTGCGCGACAATTGCGCGGTCAGTTGTAAGTCATCGGGCGTGGGGAGCGAGGACTGTTGGTGTTGCTGTTGTTGCTGGTTCGAAGATGAGGAGAAGAAAGGGCCCTGATCCGCAGCAACGGCATTTGGGGAGGGATAGGACTGCATGTTTGTCTGGCGTCCTGCGCAGCTTGTTGTTCCCGGTTGGGATGAAAAAAAGCAGTCGGCGCAAAGTCGAAGGAAGTCAGTTGGTTCGCGTGTCACGAACTCTGGCTTAAAGGATTTCCCTACTTGCCTAACCAAAGAGAAGATTTACGCGACCTTGGATCCGGGGCCGCCGACAAAGCGCGCTAAAGGCGTGATCCAGGGTGCAGACAAAGGTGAGGTTGAAGATGAGGGTGAGAGTGCAAGGTTGAATAGAGGTATTTGGAGGAGCGGCGCGGGTTAATGTTTCGATGGTTTTTCGGGAGAGGAAAAGCTTCCCTCCGATGAGACCTCACCCTGGCAAACGCGCTAAGAGAAAAGCGGTCCAGTACTAGACTAGCTCCTCGGCTGGGCATCCACAACCCCATTTCCAAATCGAACTTCCACTCTACACATTTCCAACCTCATTTCCAACTCCAACTCCAACTCCACAGTTCAACAGTCCATTGCCAACAGCCAACAGCCATTCCAACCCAGCGGTACGCAGGTTCCCTCTCTTGTCATCATGGGATGTACAAAGAAGGGCATATGTAGGTGCTGGAAGCACAGCGCCATAGCGGCGAAGTGGCAGTGCTGAATTACCATCTGCTGTGCGCCGCTCGCATTATGTTTCCTACTTTACTGCAGGTACTTGTCTACACTTTTACTTGGCCCTGGCTCCAGGATTCCGCCGGAGAGGAACATCAAGAAATTTCGACTTGAGCATTGACCAAGAGCAGATGAGGTTGCGCATAAAGGGTCAAGAAACGTGAAGATTCGGACCTTCCGAGGATTCAAAAACATACGAAAATGCATATGTGTTACTTCCAGGGCCGACAGCATCGGAGCATCAGGGTCTATTTGGCTGCCCTTACAGGATTGCATTAGATCGGGCTGGACGTTTGGATTTCCTCGATTTGACACAACTCCTTCCTTGCCTTCGAAGAAGAACACATCACTGCCATAAACCCCCTCCTCCAACACGACAGTGGCCGCGCATCAGCCCAATAACGCCATTACTTGCTTCACACCTGCTTATTTCCGCTGCCTGCTTCAGTATGTAATTCTGCTGTATACAAATCACTTGCCCAAGCAGCCGGATGAATAAAGCTTTGCAGCTTCCGGTAACATGCGTCGATTCTGCGTCAAGCAGTCAACCTAATGATGAATATCGGCCTCTTGATTTCCGGTGGGCAATCGAGGTCGAGATGCACGAGGGTCCCAATTCGGAGAATTTTTTCTGCACTACCGCTGATGACAAGATCTGGTACAGGGTCAAAGATGGCTACGCTACAGCCTCTCTTTTCGTTCGCCTAGCTCATATCTAGATCACGATTCGTAGTCTTGAAGTAATGGGTTTCGTCCATCTCGCCAGATATCCCAAGATTTCCATGGGCTTCGGGGAAAGTTTTCGCTTCTGGCTGGCCAGTACCCTAGCAATGAGGGGTCTCACTGCATGTCATGCGATCAGGCATGTTGAAGGCTTCGGCACATCTTGAGGGGGAAGAGTAAGGCCGGCAGTTAAAAAGATGGGGGCGCTAGTGCCTGACCCTTCAATAGACATTCTTGTCGTTGACGATCAAGAGGAGCAGAACCGAAACCACAAAATCATGAGGCCTTATTATGACATACTATATGTAATGAAGGTATTGAATGCTAACAACGGTTATTCTGGTTATCGGGTGGTTCACGACTAAGCTGTTCTGGATGCTCTGTTGAAGATGCTGTGGATCTGGCAAGACGAGAAGACGATATTGTCTGTGCCGTGTTAGTAGATGCCTTGATACACTATAAAGGTTTACACGGCCCGAAAAATAATCGAATGACAGAACAATTCGCCGGGAAAAAATCAAATACTGTCGTTATGTATTGTCGTTATATACACTTCTATGGTAATATGTAAGTGACAATGAGGATCTATGAACTTTGTCCAAATTGCGGTGGTACTCAGACAACCATGCTATGCAATTACGAACAAACTTATCGAGTCGTGGGCGGATACATCACAGAAGATTCTTCGTCGGAGGCCAGTTTTGCCTTTCCACAGTTGTTATTGAGCCCAGTGAGGGTTTTCAAAATTTTCGCTTTGTGCTTGGTTGATGGGAACGCCGAGAGGTGAGAAACTCTGAATCCAAAATGGGTCACTTTCTCCCTCGGGAAGCTGGAAGTGTGTGCTGTCATCGAAAGTTGATGGAGAGGGACCAGTCTTGCCATCATCAACGTAAACAGCCGTTGACATTCCGTTGTCCACGTACGCACCAGATGTTGTTTGGACACCGTTCAAGAAAGTATCCATGTCGAGGGAATCAAAGTTGTTGCTCGCAAGCAGCTGAGCTTGGGGCAGTCCAATGTACGAAGATGCTGTGCTGAGTCGGAACCCATCAATGTCTCCAAGGTCGGATTTGTCATGGTCGGAGCCATATTGATTCTTGAGCAAAGATGGTCTTGTCCCACTGGTGGTATCGGCCAAGGGTAGATAGTCTTCAACTTCGGAAATTTCGCCAGATGTCGATGTCGATGCGAGACCAGGTTGAGGTTGATCTATACTGCCGAAATCGAAACCAGTGAACGATGGAGCTTGGCTATACGATGACGTGGCAAGGCTATCGCTATTAAAGTCCAGCCCGTCGTAGTGCGACCAGTCAATGGATCCTGAGCTGAGACCGGCAGAGAATACGGGGGGGCCATCCACAGGTAGCAGGTAATTGAAGTCATCGGGGATGACTGTCAAGTCCAGGGGTGGGAGCTGACCGTTCAAATATTCCAAATTTGACTGGTTTTGTTGTGGACTCACAAGTGGTGACCCATGCTCAGACTTAGCCATTCGTTGCTCCTGCTGTGCACCGAACATGGAATCCTTAATATGTGAATCGCTACGCAACGCATCAATGGTGTTGGTATAAGGGAGGTTATCGACAGATCTGTTCGCGAGACCAGTGGGAGATGGAACATGAATTGAGTGTGCCCTCGGGACAACGTATGGCAAACCGCATTTAGAGGCCATATTATTATGCTTGTGTACCGGCTTGTGGTGACCGTTCGTGAAAACGGTCAAACCTCCGTCAGATTGTGCTGTAAGAGCACGGGGTCTAGGTTTCCCGGCTTTCGGGGCCGAGGACATTGACGGATTATCGGAATCTGTTTCAGGGACAGGATCCAAATGTTCCTTCTTCAGAGCACAGGTACACCGGCCAGTGTGGCTGCAACAGCAGCTATCTGTATGTCTACGATCAGAAACTGCGGTCGTCGTGTCTCAACTTTGTATATCATGGAAAGCTCACTATCTGCACCGGTATCGTGTCCACAAGCCCCCTTGGCATGCGCCTTCTCACCACAATCGCAGCGTACATGCGCGGAGCGTGACTTGCGAAGTGTTCGACAATGAGTGCACTGGGAGACTGGGCGACCCTGTGGTGCGACGTATGAGTACAGATCTGTCGTGGGAGGACGATAAGCGTACCTTTTTATTGATGTGTTGCAATGGCCGGTCAGAGTGCTGGCAATTGCTGACCCGATGGCCTCTCACGCATGCATCGCAGGCATACTTTTCGCCCTTGATCAACATCTTGGCGGTCTTTGGAATTTGGATTTGGATTCGGAGTTGAGGAGGATAGAGGATAGAGGATGGAGGCTGGATGGCGTACGCACAACTGTGAACGGATGAGCCTTGAGAATAGAGGAGCCTCGAGATAAGAAGGCTAGTGATGGATTGTTGGCAATCGCGGACGACTGCAGAGTCGAGATTTCGAGTCGGTGGAAATGGCAGAGAGGTTTTATATCCCCATTTCGGTTCTCAAAATGCAGCCCGTGGTATATGCCAGTGCGACCAAATAGATACTCCAAATTGAAAGATTCCAACGCCTGACCGATGCTAAAGTGGAGGAGGGGAGAGGTGAGGAGAGGAGAGGAGAGGAGAGAAGAGAGGAGAGGGAGAAAAAAGGCCTGCACCGAACGGCGCCGGCTGAAGCAGCAGGACACCGGCTTTCGGTTTGTGCGACCACAGTAGGAGGCGGTTTGGATAAGGGATACAGAAAAAGACGAGATTGTGGTAGAGGTTGAAGGACGTCGGGAAGTGCGGTCCTGTTATCAGCAGGAGTCCGGCGGCCGAGAAGTACGGGCAGGGCAGTTTGGGTTTTGGTTGCCCTGTGTGGGATGGATGAGGTGGTGGGGAGGGGGAAGGGGGAAGGGGGAAGGGGGATGGGGGAAGGGGGAAGGGGGTGAGGGCACCAAGTGTGGTGGAGAGAGGTGGTAGGTGGTTCGTGCACCATAAAGACTGGGGGAGGGCAGGCAACTTATAGTCGATGGATGGTGATTACGGTATAATAATGACGATGATTTTTGTTGAGGATATAAACTCATCATGGTCGAAGAATCTTGCGACGGCGCTTCTGCAATTATTTGTTGAAGAATCTTTTGACGATTTCGAACGGCCTGGACTCACTACTACTACTATCGGTACTACTACTACTACCGGTACTACTACTACTACTACTGCTGCTGCTGCTGCTACTACCGTACTACCGATACTACTACTACTACCGATACTACTACTACTTCTTCTACTATTACTACTATTACTCCTGTTGCTACGACTACCATCACTACTACTACTACTACTCCCACTCCAATCCTGCTACTCCTACTCCTATGCCTACTACTCCTCCTACCACTACTACTCGTAGCCCCCAAACGGTTTGCGCCGGTAATCACTAAACTGACCTGGATAGTTTATGCAGACACTCCCGGATTAACATAGATCCGTCCCCCCCGCGGAGTCCCGCCCCAGCCTTCGTCCTTCGTGACCCTCTGCCATCTCCACGTCGCGGATACCGTATAGGTACCGACCGGTACCTATACCGGTACAACTACTACTATCTTGACATACATGACCAAGACAAACTCAGCCACCCAGCCCGCCCCAGTCTTTGAGCCCGAGATATACGTAGTGATTACAACTACATCTACGACTACCGGTACTACGACCACCACCATTACCTACTACAAGTACGTACAACAATGACTTCTCTACCCCTTGGTCCGAGCACGCCGACCGAAACATCGCGATCGAGGCACATCCACACCAAGTGCAGCACGGACGCTATCCAGCACATGGAGCTCCTACCGTAGCTCCTACAGCCGCTCCTACACAAGCTCCTACACTTTATATTTCAACAAGCGCAATCTTCGGATTGGATGTCGACTGCTTCGATGAAAGCCTAAATCTGCCACCCCCATCCATCCCTATCCTTGACAGACATCGCAAAGATACCTACCTATGCATTGGCAGGGCGTTCTCTCCCTAGCCTGTTGCATGCGCTGCTGCAAGGCCACCGCATGAAACCTCCGAATCTCGATCATAGCTATACGCCATAGGTCTGGTTCTGCTTAATATCTAGCCCTCTCGATTGGAGTCATCCAGACCAGAAACGCCTGCTCCAACTTCGGATCAATATCTGGCTCGAGGATACGCCGGACTCCCCCCACACACACGCATACACCACCGCGACTTGACTGCACGCACAACGGACCTACCCAAGCTTCAAGACGGCTTGAGCATCTACGATCTCGAGGACAGCCAGCAAGCACTGCATCGATGTGCTAAGCGCAAAACATCTCGCTGAGTCGCTGAGCGCGCGCGAGACACTGTCTTACGTATATGTCATTTACGATATCGCTTTTCCCAGCGTCGCGATAGTGACCGAGCGGCCAGGTGAGACAGACGTTAGACCCCACGCCTGACACCTTCTCGTCGGCCACCGGGCCTGTCTCCTTCTTTCTTCAACTACAATTTCATGCATGCTCAGCTCTATCAAATTCACCCGCAGTGAACGCCTTTCTCAGCTACACCGCTAGACATACCGGTACCTACTCCAAGGCCTCCTCTAATCGTCCACTCGACGAATGGCTTAAATCCCGCACGTCACATGACAGGACCCTCAGCGACGACGACCATGTTTAGTTGAGAAAGCTCCTCCGCAGCAACTGAGTGAAAATATACCGGTACCACTAGTAAGTCGGAAAGGGGCTTAGACCCTAGTGCTACTGTACAGCCAGTCAGTTAGTGAGTCAGTCAGTCAGTCATATGCCGTGGATCGTAGTCATTCATTTTCCGCTCGAATCGCAAGCACTATCCGAGTCCGCACATTGCAGTTCGTTCGATGTTTTCCTACTAGTGAGTTAGCTCCTTTTTGGCACCTCTCACTCATGAGTATCTGGACCCCTATGGCTTGGCGAAACTGCCGAGATCAAGCGAGCTCAAGGAGCCTCTCAATCTGAAAACCGGTCCCACCAGCTACGACGTCGAGTCAACCATGAACTGGCGAGGAGCAGCATTGTACGTTCCCACACCTCCGCAGCGCAAACTGTGGATCTGCAGCGCCTGAGAACCTCACCCGCTTGGACCCTTCCTCAGATTAGCGTCGTGGAATTCTGACGGATGTCAACATACTTGGCATCTGATCTGGCATCTGATCTGGCATCTGATCTGAGAGTCGGGCCCTTCTCTGCACTGGCCACCCCTCTCTCCGTTCCGTGTTGATTAGCTGCTTCATCGTTGCCGTGTGAACGTCTATTCCAGCAGCCCACACAAAATGCGAAACCTGGAGTCGGATCTGCAGTCACGACGCACAAATTCGGGGATAGGAACGACCGGGTCGCGCTACAGTAGCTCCTGCGGTCAGATACAGCCCTACCAGAGATCTATCATGAATCTGTAAGTATGGCCCACAAACACAGCGCCGATGGCCTGGTACGTAGGCAAGCAGAACCAGCCCCCCGTATTTCCTCTTGTGCCTCTGGAGGCAGCCCAGCCGCAGTATCTCGCTTCCGCACACATCTCTCTCTCGGACAAGGACCCGCACCGCCGCTCTCTTGAGGCGAGGGACGTGGTAGATGGGCATTTGTACGCAATGTAGGCAAGGCTCTTTTCATAGGCGTGTTGTGTTTCTGGGCTGGCTCCCAGTCCAGCTGGTCTTGGGGGTAGCTGGGTTTGAGGTGTGGCTGTTCAGTTGGTACCTGTATATCTGGGCTCCTCGGCATCTGGGTCCTTCTCACAACACGGATTATGGTTTGGTGGGACGCAAGCGTGTTTTGATCTTGCCAGCAAGTGATAGTGAGGACGATCCCCCATGGGGGGCTGTCTGCCTTGCGCATCTAGAACCTGGTAACCTGTATTGAGATACAGGCGAAACTTGCGTAGTGGGTACCTTTCTCGGTTGACTGCTATCATAGAATCACGGTCACAATCGGGCAGCCCGTGATGAAGCATGATCACCCCGCCATGTTTGCCTCACACGGTCATTGGTTTTCATTCGTAGGACCCGTCTACTCTGCGATGAGCACTGCAGCGACGACTCCTGGTATCCATCCATCCATCCATTGCCAAACGCCAATCCATAGCCGCGTCGCATCGCATCAAGGGAAGAAAGAAAAAAAGAAAAAAAGAAGAAGAAGAAGAAGAAGAAGAAAAAGAAGCAGAGGAAAACCCCCCAAACCCCCTAGTTGATCTTCTTCGCGCCCGCGGGTCGTTGACCGACCGACTTGCCATTGCGCTGCTGGTACACGCTGTAGAGGAACAGAGCCCCAACCACGGCGCCAATGAGCAAGATGTTGCCTGTCACGACACGCCGTCAGCCGCTGTTGCGTGTATGTATGTAAGTATGCACGTATGTATATCTCTCTCTATCTCATACGCACCCGCCCCCACATGTATCTCATCTCACAGCAGCCCAGGCGCGGCAGCCAACCCAAGCCAACCCAAGCCAACCCAAGCCAACCCAAGCCAAGGCCAATCGAAACCCCACCCCCCAAGAAAAAAGGGAAAGGAGAAGGAAAAGCAAAGAGGAGCAAAAGGGAGAAAAAAGAAAGAAAGAAAGAGAAAGGGGCCACTTACTCACCAGGAACCGGAGGAGGCCCTGCAAGGTGTGCGCGAGCCCGGCCAGCATGGTGCCCACGGCGGCGACGAGGCTCTGCAGGACGCCGAGGATGGTGCTGAGGATGGCTTGGAAGACGGCGAGGATGGAGCCTAGGATGGAGCTGAAGACGCCGAAGATGGAGCGGGTGAGCGAGCCGAGCTGGTCGATGAGGGAAGGCATGGTTTTGGGTGGTTGGTTGGGGGTGAGGGTGGGGTGGGGTTTGGTGGTGGTGATGAGTTTGTGAGTTTGTTTGTTTGTTTGTTTTTCGTCCTGGTGGATGGATGTTAGGGAGGTAGGTTAGGTAGGGAGGTCGTGATCGAGTTTTTTTTTCTTTTTTTCTTTTTTTCTTTTTTTTTTCTATGGCCCTTGAAATCCAGCGCGGAGCAGGCAGACTTACTCTTCTACTTTACGGCAGGTCCAGTTTCGAGGAAGGTGTGGGTGGAGAGATTGAGGCAGGCAGGTTGGGCCGTTAGTTCAGACGGATGTTGCTGATTCGACTCTGGTGGTGTGTGTTGCGAGGTGAAAAGGGCAGGTGGGCAGGCACGACGACGACGACAACGACGACGTGTTGTATGTGGCACCAGCTCGATATTTATTCGATTCCAATACCCATACCCATACCCATACCACTACCCATACCACTACCACTACCAATACCAATACCAATTCCAATACCAGTGACCAGTGACCAGTAACCAGCTAAAATCAAGAAAGAACGAAAGAAAGTAAACAAAACAAAAAAAAAAAAACCTGAATCGGAAGCAAAACGCTGTGGCGCAAAACGCCTCACCATCATCCATCATCACCTTTCCCCCCCCCTCCCCGGCAGGAAAACAGCAAAGATCTGCGTTCCTCGTCCTACATCGGCTCCGTTTCTGGGGCGTGTACCATCCGTCCCGCTATTCCTCCTCCTCCTCCTCCTCCTCCTCCTCCTCTGTAAGTACCTAAGTAATGTAAGTAAGCACCGGTAAGTATGATGGTAGTTTCCCCCACCCCCCCCCCCCAAAAGCTGGCTGGGAAAGCAGGTGACGTCATTTTCTGTACCTTCTCGTCTCTTTTTCTGCAAGTACTACTAGTAGGTAGGTTAGGTATCTATTTCCGTCGGAAAGCTTTTTCCGTGATGGACTACTACGTAGTAGATAGGTACGTAGTAGGTGGTACGTAGTATGTTTGCGTTACTGTACGGCATTGCATTTTCGTTGCGTCGTGAGGCTTTTGCTGTCTTCGGTAGATACGGGTAGGTAGGTACCTAGGTACCTGCTCTGCATCTACCTATCTACCTACCGGTACGTACGGTAGTACAGTACGTACGTACGGTACGTACAGCGGTAGGTACTAAGTATACTAAGTACCGTAGTACCGTACTACCGTACGGGGGGAGCGAGCGAGCGAGCAGGGGGGGGGGGCTTCCTCGCTTACGGGCCGGGAAAGGATTACGTACGCAGGAGCTACCGTACTTAAGCTCTGTAGATACGGTACGTACCTACTACGTCGCAGGCGTAAGTATTACCCCTCGAGGATAGGGAAAACAGGGGGTTTAAAGTGGAAACTAAACTTTTAAGGCACCCTCGAGGGGTAATACTTAGGCCTGTACCGTGGTACTTGTAGATAGGTAGGTACTACGTACGTAAGTGGTGTCCGTCCAGATTTGTAGGTAGTAGAAGTACCTACGGTAGATGGAGGCGCCGCATGGGTGGCATGTCATCATGGCTTGAGCTCTTGCTTGGTGAGGAACTGTGAGACTAGGTGGGTGGGTGGGTAAGGTACCTACTACTTGCTACTTGCTACCGTACTTACGATCTTGACAGTTCGCGAATGGTACGATACGCCAGCTCCTTCCTGCAGGACCTTACCTACCGGTACTAGGTACCTACCTTTCTCCTGGTATTACGCACTAGGGGAGTACAGTACGGTACAACAGTACTTAAGTACAGAGAGGAGAGTGGTACCGGTAGTTAGGCCGAGACCGCCGAAGAGTGGGACTTGACGTCGCAACTGTTACAGTACAGTACCGGTACAGTACCGTAAGGTACCGGTATGTACCGGTACGTAGGGGAGGGGTTAGTCTGTGCCCCCCCACACCGTCTTCCTCCTCGACAAACCTGCCGTATTCGATTAAGGTTGTGACCTGGAACCTCAAGTGACACCGGCTACGACGTAGGACGTACTACGTCGCAGGCGTAAGTATTACCCCTCTAGGGTAGGGAAAACAGGGGGTTTAAAGTGGAAACCAAACTTTTAAGGCACCCTCGAGGGGTAATACTTAGGCCTGTACCGTGGTACTAGTACGTAGGATGTATACCTAGGTCTGCAGTTGGCTTCTTTGGTCTTTGAAAGAGGCCGTGAAGGACCGGTACACATGCGGATTGTTAGATAGGTAGGTGTCTTGGATTGGAAAGGACCTTTCTCAAGATCTAGATGGTTCGGAGGGCTGACCTGACCGCCTCTTGATATTGGATGACGACTTGTTTGATGGATGGGTATGACAACGACAACTACAACTAGGACTACTGTACTACTCCGTACAACGCCTTTGTACGCCGTACTTACTTACTGTACGAGCAGTGCATACCGGTACGTCCATGGCGGACCAGGGCAGGGGCAGGGGCAGGGGCTTGGGCTTGGGCTTGAGCAGGGTCTACGGTACCCCGCATTCTCGCGTGGGGGGGGAGAGGGGACTTGGCGTGCAGGGGTTTCTGGATGGAACGAGGAATTTTCCGAGTGGCTTCATTTTTTTTGGTTGTTGTTGTTGTTGTTGTTGTTGTTGTTACTGATTGCTGTTCTTATTTTTTCGGGAGGCAAAAACACCACCACATCGCATCGCTTGGAAGTCGCACAACAAGCCGAGGCTCCACCCAGCCACCCAACCCGTGAGATCGGAAAGCCGGGCTGGACATGGAGGGCAGCAGCTTCCTCTCTCCGTAGGGAAAACGCACATACGTCGCACACTGTATGTCTGTCTGCTCTACCTATGCAGTTCGAAAAGAGGGCATGTCATCCCAAGGGCCTGCACCGCCCAAGAACTGGCCACCAGGCGTCCGCTACCTCACCACCCCCGTCTACTCGCCCACCCTCACCCCAAGCCACCTCACAGCGCTCCGAACCCGACCGCCGCAAGACGCAAAGGAAGCAGCAGCAGCAGCAGCAGCGCCAGCCAACCCCCACCCCAAGGGTCCTTGCAAGCTCGTCCGGATCGCGCCGGTGACCACACCTTCGCATCCTGCCCACGGCCAGAGCGGGCTCTTTGCCGCCAGAGACCTCCCGCCGGGCACCTTCCTCCTGGCCTATCTGGGCGAGATCCACGCGACGCCTCCTCCCGCCGGTGGTGACGAGAGGGGGGAAGCCGCGGATCCGCACGCGGACTCGGATTACGATCTCAGTCTCGACCGGGAGATGGGCATTGGAATCGATGCCGCCCGGAGCGGAACCGAAGCGAGGTTCATCAACGACTACAGAGGGGTAGCCGACCGGCCGAATGCCGAGTTCCGCGAGGTCTGGGATGCAGGGAGGGGAGAGCGGGGCATGGGCGTGTGGGTGTTGCCGGAGGGCAAGAGCGGGAAGGGCAAGGGCAAGGGCAAGGGCAAGAGCAAGGGCAATGGCAAGGGCATTCGCAAAGGGGAAGAGATCTTGGTGAGTTATGGGAGGGGATTCTGGGGTGCGCGGAGGGAGCGGGAGGAGGGTTAGTTCGGTTTCAAGAAAAGGTGTATCTGTCAGTCGGTCGGTCATCGGTCAAGCTTTTGCTGGTTGGTTTTAGTTACCCGGATCCTCTGCAGCGCGGCGGAGATAGGATCGCCTCTGCTCCGCGTCGCTACTGTATAGAGCCGGCAGACCCGGATAGAGACCCCCTTGTCGGTGGGGGGTCTTTGATCCTCGTGTCATCGCGGATGGAAGTGGCGAATCCGTGTTCGAGTGAGAAAAATAAATATTTTGATATATATATATATATATATATTCCGTGGCTAGTTCGCCCGGGGCTCCTTCTAGAGTGGGAGTCTCGAGGAGGGAGTTCGGGGAGACAGGGGATGGAGATGGTGTCGGTTGGCTGGCTGGCTTCTTTTCTTACCTGTCTGATGGCAGATGTCAACATCACGGCGGGATAGAAGGAACAAACAAACAAACAACCGAACGAATGAACGGACGCACTTCTTTCTGACTTGGCAGCTGGAACGGTCGGCCAGTCAGTCACCGCATACATCGACTCTCTTCACGACGTCGTCAAGCTTCGCGAACTCTTCTTCGGTCCGGCACATGCTTGCTTGATCATGTACCGGGCGTAGACTTTCACGCTAGTGAGACGTGTGGATGGGTACCGGTACTGGGGTACATCCTGGGATCACAATCGAGTACGGTACAGAAATGATCCAGAGACCCGTCGCAGATTCATACTCTGCGCGGGGGTCAATTTTCTAGAAGAGAGCATGATAAATGACTTGTGTGATGGATGGTTGTGTCGGGGTGAAGGCGTCGTTGCTTCATGAACGTTGTCGTTGAGCATGTCTTGTTGGGCTACCAGACTTGGAACTCTAATAGCGATAGCGAAGAGAAAAAAAAGAAAGAAAGAAA